ACGAAACCGGAAACACTATAAAGTTGTATCGTTATTATTTTATTAATATATTATAAAATATAAGTTATGAAGCGTCTGTGTGATAATATTTAGGTGGTGGTGGTCGAGCATATATACTTGCCTCATGAAATAAAATAGTTCACGCYGCCACTGTGTCTAGGAAACATTATAGATTATTAAAAATGTTCAAATCTCAGATTTAAAAAGTCGCTCAAATTTTTTGAAAATTTTACCATGTAAGGCTAATATAAGAAAGCAGCCCAAATTTCAAGTTTTCACTAATGTTTTTAACCGAATTACAATAAAAAAAACTCCCAAAACTAAAATGTCTATAAATAGCTCAACAATTTCCGAACTCTGAACCGTAAAGAACAAAATGCAAAATACAACAAAAAAGATCTTTTGTTATTTTTTATTTGAAGCAATTTTTCTGGTAGAAAATGTCATCCGCAATTATTTGATATTATGAAATCGTGAAATCGTACGTTTTTTCTCCTTTAACCGTTTTTATTTCGAGTGCCGTTTCGAATATCAAAAAATGACCTCTTTAAAGTACCAGCTCAAGAATATGACCTTTCGGAAAAGATGCTACTTTTGATACTTTTGAGCAAGTTTACTAAGGAGAAAAGTGTTTACAGAATAAAATACATTCATCACTTCGTTCAGAATCTAAAAGAAAAAGAAATAAACATCATTGTAAAACCAATACATTCCTCGTTCCGCTCAGAATCTAAAATTATAACTGACAAAGATCGATTTTTTTTGAAAACATGTAGGAACTATCATACAATAATGTTACTAACAATTAATTCTACTATACAGATATAAATAGGTAGTATCATTTATTATAAATATTGTTATAATAATAATAATAATAATAATAATATAATATAATTAATATTATAATTATCGGTATTTATAATCAATGGTAATATGCAGTGTACAAAATTGACTGTGAAAACAAACGTAGTACGTCAAATGGATAATTCTAAGTGGTAAATAAAATAATATTCTACTTAATATTATCGTTATAAAATAATACTGATTAGCCATAAAAATTATAAGCTCGTACACCGTTAATAATGATGATTTAGTTGCAGTCTACTTGATATTATTAATGTTTAGTGTGTTATCAATACAAAAATACAATGATATTATATTTTATGAAAAGTAGTTTACTGAATGTCAATATTAACTATGTAGAGAGTATACTATAGATTACAATATACGCATGCGTCGGTGGCGATGAAATCAAAAGGTCCCGTCTCGGGTCGTTTGTGTGTATCCACGTAATGACCTTATATGCATTTGGCAAAAGCCATTGTAGAAACCGTGTGACACAAATTTCAAAGCGGGTATGTGGGTTGAAGTTTTTTTTCTGGTTTGAGCATATACACGAACGTCCCAAAGACTAAATTTAAATTTAATACAGCGGGCGGCATCAAAGTCGCCCACGGTTCGAAACGCGGGTGAACGATTAAATTAAATGACGAATACAATGAGTACAAGGTACGTCACGACAAAGTCGGAAAAATAACAAAAATCCAGACGTAACAGCTGTGATCTACCCGCATAAAAGGAGCTTTTGAGTGCAATCTCTATAGTTCTAATTTCAAGCCGTTGTGCATAATAATCATTATGGAGGCTAGCTGAAATAACTACAATGTTACCTCAGACCGCCTTCGCGCAGTGACGATATTTCTCATTGATCGAGTGCTTTGGCTTACTTGCATACTGGGTCTACGTTCATTAGCGATTGACCCGATGGGAAAGTGYGACACTCCTAACTCTTCGAGGCTGCTCTTCCGGTTACACGTCATGGAAAGTCCTTGTCTAAGCGAATTGGACCGTCTCAACAGTATGTCGTCGACTACACGTAGAGAGTTGGACCGGGCTCGGAGGGCGCTGCCCACCGTCGGGCTGTCCGGTAATGACAGGCTGTTCGCTTTGGTGGTAACCAACGGCGGTGGTCTGGTCATGAACGGTGGGAACGCCATACTCGATCCCCTCCTYGAACCGAAGCCCAGTTGTCCGATTGTTGAGTTGAAACTTATGTTGGACTTCCGACGACTGTTGTGTCTTTCAAACGTTTTCTGTGCCGAAAACGGACTGGGTCGTAGAATATACCTGAAAAAAAAATACGACRGTCAAAAATGAAACGACGCCGTTTAACTGTTCTGAAAACGAATAATACTCTATGCAAGTGAAAATCAATATTGACATTTGTGAGAGAATATAACAAAACAAATATATTTCATGTTTAATTATAAAAACGAGATAAAATCGTGCCATTCACAATATGCATTTAAAGCGTGGCTTACACAATGTCACCCTCTTCGAGTTTGAGGTCACAACTAGGGTTGATAATGACGTATGATAGACTACTCCGTTTCTCGCTGACTTCTTCGTGATCGACGGCAGGTAAATTCAAACTGTCCATTCGAGATCTGACCAAGTTTACTATTTCTGCTCGCTCGATCAAATTGTCATGGTTATCCCGGGCGTCATCGTGCATGTTAATTGAAAACTGTGTAAATATATCAATCACAGGGTTTTTTATTAAAAAATAATAATGGTATAGCTGTGTTAATTGCATTGCGATATGGGTAAATTACAAATTGCGCGTGTATGCGATCAATCTAAATTTTAGTACAATGACATGAACTCTATAGATGGGGTAAAATAAAATGTAGGGTTATTTCTCTGAAACAACATGTATTTATTTCAGTGAAATATATCTACCATATTGCAGCTTTAATATCTAAATTTACCTAGTAGAAAGATTTATTTTTACTTCTACATTATTTTACGAAAAACTCAATGCTTATGATGAAACGTATAATTATTTAATCAATAGGTACTTTAAATGTAGGTACATAAGTTACATATTAGGTATTATTATTATTTTAAGAAGAAGAGATATTAAATAATATTAATATATTAATATAATATTAAGTCTATACTGAAAAAAAATTTGTAAAATATTAAAATATTATAATTTCACTACCTGCCTAATTAAATTAGGTTAACTGTTTTATATGAATTATTCACAATCTTTAATTTTTACCTCCTTCTTTTGAAACAAAATATTAAATAATCATTAATCGGAATGATTTTATTATTCGATAAATAATAATTGAATTGTATTATTAATTAATTGGCATATCTTTAAGTCAAGGATGGAGTAAAAGAAAAAGATCATTAAGTTAATTTTAATTATAATTGAAGACAGAAATTATGAGTGACGCATGTAACTTTCATATAGGTACTAAAATGTCTGAGTGTCACTTTCACTTTTGTACAATTTAAATCTGTGCTTAAAAATAATAGAGTTTTATAAATATGAGTGAAAAAAAGGGTTTAATTTTAATTTAACGTTAGAAATTGTCTGCTCAATCGGTATCAATTGACTATTAATTATTTTCACTCTATAATTTGAATGTAAACTTATCAATATTAACACGCAGTTAATAAACAAATAACTAAAAAAAAGATGTACAATTTTAAAGTAATTTTACAGTTTATTTTTAAATTTAAATACTTCTATTTTGTCAATTAAATATTCTATCTAAGTACTAGTTTATAAAAACTGTTGTAATAGAATCTACTTATTATCAGACTAAGATTTATAACATTTTAGCACAACCGTATACATAAAGCACATTTGAGATAAAATTTCAAGTACATATAATATATTATTGTAAATATATGGAATAATTATATTGTGCAATCGTATTTAATTTGGTATGAAGATAGATAGGTATAATATTTGTTATGATGCATAATATGACTCAAGCAATTCTAACAATATGCTTTTAAATAATTGTATGACATGCATTATTACATTTTTTTTCAACATTCAAGATAGTGGCTTTCAAAATCTACCTATAACATTCAACATTATGTGAAATATAATCCTAATTAATATTACAATACTAGGTATATATTAAGCATATAAAACTGTACTACGTTTCCCACCATCGTAAGACTAACGAAATATATTTTTATGTTTCATATATTTAAATTAACTTTTGAGTTATAATTAT